TTTTTTAATTCTTCAGTTCCTTAGTTTTCAGCTCTTAATTCCTTTAGTTTTTAGTTTTGCCCTCAGCTTTTAGATTCTTTAGTCCTTTAGTTCTTTAGCTTTTAGTTCTTTGTTTTATTAGTTTCCAATTCTTGTTAGTCTTGTTAATCGACGTGTTTGTATTTGTCAATTTGTAAACTATCGAAAATCTATCGAAATTAAAATCTTGTAATTAATAAGAGCGAAACGTAGATTGTAACTCCGAGCATTCGAAATTTCAACGACTATTCTGTCAATATCCAATTAGAATACGAATAAACATTTTTTTGTGAAGAATATTTGTCTAATAATATAGCAGGATTAAGCGAACATTTATTTTTACCAACTCTAATCCTCTCCCGTGCTAGTACTCCTGCAGGTGCTAGTACATAACAGGTTAGCCGAAACGTGGAGTGTAATTTCAAATCGCATTAAATAACAGACAATACTACAATTTAATCTAAATTCAAAAATTAACGGCAACGCAACCAAAACGAGCCAGACAAAACATAACAAAAAGCACGAAGAGAGGGTATGAAAAGTATAAAAAAGTGACAAAGAAGGCAGGAGAAAGAGTGAAACACAAAGTTAGGAAAGAAGAAGTTAGGTGGACGACAGAATAGAAGGTAGTTGGATAGGAAGAAGACAGATGGCGACAGAGGCAGGCCGAGGATCACGGACAAGGCGGAAGAGAAGGCGGAACACTGAAACACGCTGGAAAGGTATAGCGTGACAGAGAAAGAAGCAATAATAGACATGGAGGTAAGAAAAAGGGTAGAGTCAGACCACATGCCGTTGGAAATAGAAATAGAGGGGCCAGAGATACAAAGAGATGAGGAAAGAAAAGAAGAAGAGAGGGAGAGACGGGAATGGACAAACGAAAGTGTGGGAAGATATTTAGAGGAGTGTAAAGACTGGGCAAGCAGGGGAAGAACAGCAGAAGAAATGTGGACAGAAATTAAGAAGAAGATAAACGAGGCAATACCAAAGAAGAGAGTAAGGATAAGGAAATGGAGCATAGGAGAAAAGGCGCGGTACGACAAGGAGTGGAAAGAGAGGAAAAGGGAGATAAGAAGGAAGATGACAAAATTTAGGAAAGGAAAATGTAGCAGAGAGGAGTTCATAGAGGAGAAGAAGGCATTTAAACAGTGTTGTAAACAAAGAAAGGAGAAGCAGGAAGAGGAAGAAATGAAGAAAATCAACAAGATCAAAACAGAGCAAGAAGCATGGAAATATATAAATAAATATAGAAGAAGAAGAGAGGTTATAGACGAAGATATAAGGGAAGAGGAGTGGCAAAATTATTTTATGGAAATGTTAGAAAGGACAGAAAACAAAGAGGACAGTGAACAGAAGGGCGGAGAGTGGAGGAGGAATTAAAGGAGGAGAGAGAAGATAATATAGAGAAGGAAGAGGTGATATTCCAAATAAGAAACTTTTTTTTCTTTTCTTTTTTTTTATTTATTTGTTGAAATTACAATCAATTCTCGCGTTGAGAATTTTCAGTAATTTTTCTGGCGTGGCGCAGTGACATGGCTGTTTATTTACAATAAGTTAATACTTGTTATAGATAGGTATAATTTGTAGGTATTATAAGTAAGTGCATATGCTTAATTTGGATAACTAAATGAATCTAGCGTTTAGGTCTAGCGGGTAGTGCCTCTTCAGCCTGCGAATCTGGTCCGTCGTGTCAAGTAGTCCAGTGATTAGGGGGTTTCGGTGTTTGTTGACTCTTTTGCTATATCTGTCGCTGTATTTTGCTATGTCCTCTTTGATTGTGGGTATCTTGAGGTCGCGATGGATGGTTTCGTTGGTAACATACCAAGGTGCGTCTATTAAGGATCTTAGCGTTTTCGATTGGAA